CGATGTTTCTAATGGGGAACCCACATTTCTATTCATAAACAATTGTTTTTGTCCTTAATCTCCTTTCCCCAGGGAGAATATCACAGATTCAGGTATTTATGGGAAGAAAAAAAAAGTCTTATATAGAGTTTCAACTCTTTTTACACTATTGGTTATTATCAATAACTCATCCTGAAGTTTAAAATTATTACTAGGATCATGCACTAACCCCTAACATGGCACTATAATATGCTACCAAGCACTAATGCTTACAAAACTATACACATCTCAAAATGGAAGACATTGGTGATTTTGTTGTTCTTAAACAACTTGTAACATTTGTCCACAAGTATTAAAATATACATATATATATATTTCTATTGCACATATCCCGTTTTTGTTTGACTTTTCAAAGGATAAACTGCCAGCTAACATGGATGAGCAAAGCAAAGGAAGCACAAATGCAGATTGAAGCACTTCTAAAATTAAGTTTTTGCCATCAAGAAAGGGACCAACATAGACCAGAGAAAAATGCAAATATATTAAGTAAATACTGGGCAACTACAACTAGAATATGCCCATGTTGTTAAACGTCATCTAATGTCAATCATGTAAGATGTGGAAACATTTCCTTTGAAAGATATCATTAACACTGGTTCTCAGCTATAAGTTGAAAAAATGCTGAAGGAGGCAGGTCTGACACCTGTTCAAACAAGTGGATCAGAGTTGTTCCACTGGTGCTTATATCCCTTGCCCCATGACTAATACACGGTATGATGAGTGTTTGGGTTACCAGCTGTACAATTCACTAATATGTTTTCTAAAAGATTCTTATCACAGAAGCTAACATTTTAAGGGCCTAACCATTACTACTTATTGTGGGTAAGGTAAAGAAAAAAAAAACTAATAAGGAGAGGTGGTTTCTGCCCTAGAATACCATTTTTTAAGCTCTAAATACACATATTCAATAATTATCACAAATTCAGGAACTTTCTATACCAGACTTTAAAGCAATCTATTTGGTAACTGGTAGGCCCCTGAAATCAAAGGAGATTCATGACATTTGGTGGGTTTGGAGCTTTCTTTCTAGATATCACCCATGGTAAGTTTAAATTCACATTTAAGGTTGGGTAAGAACTCTTTATTTAAAGCCAACAGAGGTAGAACTTGGCTTGATAGTAAACATTGGGGAATAAAATCACCTGCTAGTGGGCAATTTTATCCCATACCACCATTGGCTGGTTAAAAAGCTACGTGGGAAATGTTCATGCAGTTTGCTTCACAGAATATTTTAATTTCTTTTGGAAGCCAATTACAAGGGAAAAAATAGCACAGGCTTTGTCAAAAGCAAGATGTAGGACTAAATCTCAGTTCTTCCATGTAGTGGGTATGTGATACTAATCAAGTCATTTTACCTGTCAGATTACAGTGAAAGGTAATCATGGTCACTTCATAATGTGGTTGTGAGGACCGAATGCATATGAGAACATGCTCAGTACCATCGACAGCACATCTGAAAAGCACAGTCAGTGCTAACTTCTTTGCACTCTTTAAAACTGAGAAACAGGCCAAGAAAAAAATAAAAATAATGTACTCAACTGTTCAAGGAGGAGCATCTGCTCTGATGTTTTCATTCTATTAGAAAAATCCTCCCTTGATCCAATGTCTCACTCCAGCTATTGCCCATTTCTCGGGTCCCCTTAGATTAAAACTCCAAAGAATGAACACTTCTTGCTGTAGCCAATTTCTTTCCTCACATTCTTCCCAAACAATCAGGACCCCCTGCAGGAGGTCACAAATGACCTCCTGCGGAGATCACCAATGATCTCTTGTGGAGTCTTCTCTAGTTAGAGTTACTTCCTTGATGATTATAACCAATCTATGGGCTTAGAAATGATCAGGTCTCTGCCAACAATCTCCCAATTTTTTTTAATCTCCAGCCTGGCCTCTCCTTTTAACTTTAGATTCTTCGATTCCATGGCCTACTCAGTCTCCCTACCGGGATATACGCCAGACTTCTCAATATGTTCAAAACTGAACTTCAATACTTCCTTTGAAACCTACTTCCCCCATAATCTTTCCATCTTGGTCAGTGAAAGTGTCATCCTTTCAGCTGCTGAGGACAAAGCCCTTGGAGCCATCTGTTATGGTTCAGATTTGAGGTGTCCTCCCAAAGCTCATGTGTGAGATAATGCAAGAAAGTTTATGATTGGGTTATAGGTTTAACTAATCAGTGAATTCATTCCCTGATAGGGCTTAACTGGTCAATGCATTAATCTCCTGAGAAAGATTAACTTGGTGGTAACTATAGGCAGGTAGGGTTTGGCTTGAGAAGGTGGGTCCTGGGGACATGACTTTGGGGTTTATATTTGTCCTTGATGAGCAGAGCTCTCTCTCTCTCTCTCTCTCTCTCTCTCTCTCTCTCTCTCTCTCTCTCTCTCTCTCTCTCTCTCTCTCCTTCCTGGAAACATGTCCTTAGATGCTTTCCTCTGTCACACCTTTCTGCCATGACCTTCTGCCTTTTTCTCAGGGCCTGAGGAATGGAGTTGGCCATCGATGCACTGAGACCTCTGAAATGATTAACCCCCAAATAAATTTTTCCTCCTTAAAATTGTTCTTATCAGGTCTTTAATTTGAAGCATGGAAAAAAATCTACTAAAACATCTATATCCATAAACTTTCACTGAGTTATGTTATAGTAACAACAACGACAAAAACAACAAAGACTTGGAGGCTTGCAGTCATGGTTTTTGTTTGTGCTCTACCAGTAGAAGGTGAGCTGTTATTCTGTTTCATATTTTCTTCCCTCAAGGATCCAGGCTAAAGGAGCAGACCCATCTGGGACATTGCCTTTCTCTTGGGAGAGGACAGAAGCGGTCCCATGTGGTGATGCCTAAAGGTTCTGCTGGCAAGGGACATATCACTTCCCACCTCACTAGAGAGAGGGCAAGTCACATGACTTCCAGACGGATTGAGCCCAGTAGGAAGGGTTAACAAATACTCTGGCAATGATACAAGTTACCACAGAATCTTTGTCTCCTCTTTCTTTGAGACCCCATATGCAATCCGTCAGGAAATGCTATCAGGTCAATCTTTAAAATATATCCAGAATGCAATAATGTCTTGTCATCTTCACTACCACCTCCCTGCTTCAACACACCATATCTGGGACCTGGAATATTGCAGGTGGCTCCTGTTATGCCAGATTCATGGGACCCCAATAGACCTCCAGGAGCCGAATCCTATGCAATCACACAAGAGTCTTTATTGCAAGCTCCAGCCTGGACTCACAGCCGTTCCTGATGCAGCGGTCCCAGGGAGTGAGTCCCGGTCCTTTGTTCAGTGAGATTTTATAGGTTTTGGGGGGATACTCTATGCGTCACAACATCACACAGCAAATCATTCCATACGGCGGGAAAATCAATCACCAAATCTTAACATTGATTAGTACATTCAATGGCGGGAACAAGTTGGGTAGGGGTGATTGGTGAGTACAGGGGGGGATTCCTTTGAACTGATTGGTTTAGGCCACAAGGGGTGTACATACTAAACTACATGGTTTCCCAACATGTTATCAACCACCGTAAACTACTTGGGGGTCATCTGGCATCCCAGGTATTTTCCCTGTCTCATGCTGATTGGAAGTTGCTAGGGGGGTTGCTATGGGTCCTCCCCTAGCCTGACTGAGTCGGGGACACCTGGAGCTGCAGACTTCTCCTGTTATTTACAAACAACTCAGCAGGGTTGGGTATGTGCTTAGGAGTGCTCTGTGGGTTTTTCCAAGGACAAGGGTCACGCCCCCTTCCTTAGGACAGGCCTTGGGGTAGAAGCTGCTGTTATTTATTTATTTTTAAAAATGGAGTCACATCAGTTTCTCACTCCCAACTGTGCTTCCGCCTTTGTTTCCCTACTGAATGCTTTGAAGACATTGGCCTGGATGATCCCAAGGAGATGTAAGTCAGATCCTGTCATCCCCCTGCTTAAAACCCTCTGATAGATCCCCCTTTCTCCCAACAGTCACTCTTTACAGTGGGCAATAGTCTATAGGACTTTACATTATCTTTCCAACATCCCCCATTTCCTTTCTGACTTTATCCCCTGTCATCTACTTCCAGCGGCTCCAATTCAACCGTATTTACCTTCTTGCTGTTCTTCAAATCATAGGGGCACCTCAGCCTCAGGGACTTCGCACTGATGTCTTTTGCTTAGAAATCTCTCAGATCTGTGCCTTGTACATTCCCTCCTGTCCTTTAGTACCATAATGTACCTTCTCAAGGCACCTTCACCACTTCATTTAAAATTCCTTACCCCATCTTTATTCTGAGAGGATACATGTAAAATAATAAAAAAAATCATTAATAGCATCCTTTTCATAGAGTAGGATGTTTATTCCAGTTTAACCTACTATGTAATTTACTTATTATCTTTATTGTCACAGTCTGCCAAAATATAAGTCTTGCAAAGACAGGAATCTTTGTTTCATCCCCTAGTAGATCCCAAGATAGAAGAATGTAGACCCTAAATATATCTACCTAGATTCTAGATAGGGAAGAGGGGTGGGATGGAAAGGGAGGGGGAAGGGGGTTAGCAAGGTTGGTGGAATGTGATGGTCATCATTATATAAAATACACGTATGAAGATTTGAAATTGGTGCCAACATACCTTATATACAGAAATATGAAAAATTGTGGTATATATGTGTATTAAGAATTGTAATGCAAAAAAAGAGTACATGTATAATGGCATAAATTGGTGTGAACATACTTTATATACAGAGATACAAAAAATTGTGCTCTATATGTGTAATAAGGATTGTAATGTATTCCACTGTTGTAAATAAATTATATATATACATATATATATACATATATATAATGTATATATGTATCCCAGATAGAATAGTGTTGACCATATAGTAGGTGATTCAACATTTATTGACTGAACAAACAGACTGAATGAATCAATCTCACCCAATTTCCTTATTCTGCATCAATTTCCCTTCCTAACATTGTGAAATTTACCTTGTCTGTCACTTGAGACATGTTCCAATAAAGTATCTGTAGTCGACATGAGAATTTGTTATTCTTCACTAAACTTGATTATACTCTTTAATTTCCTAAAGGAGAAATAAAAAAAAGATTGGGTCAACTAAAATTGAGATTCATTTTGGCTGAGCAAAAACTTAGCTCTTTCTTTAACATAATTATAGCAATATTATTAACATTTAAAACACTTGTGGATTTTTTGTTGTTGTTGTTCAGATTTGGAAGAGGAATTGGGTGGCAGAGATGGGGGCAAGTAGTTTTAAATTATTCATCTACAAAGAATGACATCTTAATTATAATCATTTTAAAAGCCATGGAAGATATATACAAAATAACTAGTTCAGGGAAAAGAAACAATGACAAATGAAAATATTTTCAGATAATACTAAGTCATTTAAAAAATATTTTTAATAAGACCCTATAGTTAAACTGAGATATTTTTTGCAGCTCTGCAGTCTCCTTGGAAGAAAAACAATTTCTTTGGTTGTTGGCTCTTTTTTAGTCTTTTCAAAATCAATGGAGCCATTCTCTCCCTGCTTATTTCACATGCCGTCATTGATAAAGTTTCAGCCAATTTCTCTATGTAGCAATAGAAGTCCAAATAATTAACCAGGGTATTATAAGCATTAAACCAAAAAGTGGCAGGTAGTTAGTCCAAGAAAAACAAAATTGTAATAGTAGCACATTAGTTCTGCACATAAGGAGTAAGTCACATATATAGAGATTACTGGAATTGACTGGCAAAGAATAAATACATATATTCTTTTATAATCATAAATAACTAAAATGAAAATAGTTCACTCAAAGTGGAGGATTATTGAAAAAAATGTATTAAATCAACCAAATGTTCAGAGATCATGCCACTAAAAGTCTATAATACAAAGACCAACCATTCACCCCAAATTCTTGGTCCTTCGAGAATATGCTATTGTTAGAGGAAGTGTCTGCTCAGCCAAACTTCTGCATCCAGATGGGCTACATAACAAGTTTACTGGAATGTCAACAGAAAAGGTACCTCTTTTTGGCATCCAACAGAATGGGTGCCAATTCTGGGCAACATGAAGAAGCAAGTACTTTCCACACACATTCTCTTTCTGTTGTTTGGATGCCTATTCAACATCCCTAGAGTAGGGGTACCTACAGAGGGAAGGGGCTTGATTTCATGAATCACTACAAAAGGAATGCTCAAAGTTCCAAGAACTCAACCAGGTTATTATCTTATTCTAAAATCCAAATTTGGGCCAGGAATAGTGGTACATACCTGTAACCTCAATCACTTGGGAGCCTAAGGCAGGAGGACTGCAAGTTTGAGGCCAACCAGGACATCTTAGTGAGAAAATAAAAAAATAAAAAGTGTTTGGGATAAAGCTTAGTGGTAGAATGCCCCTGAGATCAATCCTAGTACCACAAACACAACCCAGAAGTCCAGTTTGGAAAAGTCACAAACAAGTTTGTTTACAACATTATGTACAAAAACAAAAATAAAAATAAAAATAATACTTAATAGTAAAAGAATTATTAAGTAAATTATGGCATATTCATTTAAAGAATCATTAAATAAATTAAATTAAATTAAATCATTACATTAAATTAAATCAGCAAAAATTATATAAAATATACTTTAAATCTGGTGAGGATACATAAGTCAATCTGAAATTAAGGAGAAGAATTGTAAAATCTGAGCCTGTATGCACAGATATGGACACACACACTCTCATACATGCACACAGGCAGATGGAGAGGGGGAAGCGTATGCATCGCGGGGCAGTGCTTAATGTCTGGGGAGGTTTGAGCTAGTGTGTGGAAGGCTTCTTCCCTCACCAATTTGGGGTAACTGGTAATTTTTTGGCTGAGCAGACACTTCCTCTAATAACTGCATCATTTCTTGAAAGTCTGACTCTACAAATCAAGACCAGAGGAGCTCAAGTTTCCACCTTCTAAACTTTAGTAGCTCAGAAATGACCGTTGCCTGGACTTGCAACTTACCCCATTAGTCTCTCTTTCAGTAATAGTGTCATTCTTTTTCTTTCCAGAAAATCAAGCTCAAGGGGAACAGCAGCTTTTCTGCCTCTGCACCCACATCAATACTACATATAGTAGGCTCTCCATGGACTCATTTGGCCATTCATTTATTCCACAAGTGTTTAACTTGCCTACTATGTGCTTATACTTATTCTTGGCCGTGGACTCTGCCCTTCTGCATGTTCAGTGGAAGCACCTATGGGCTGGTGCTTCCTGCTTTTCTTTCTCCCTGACACAGAATGCATCTAGGCTTAAGGAATGTAAGAAGCCTTCACAACTACCCCCTCACTAGGATGGCTATAATGTGTTGCCAAGTGTTGAGGAGGATGTGGAAAAACTGAAACCTTCATACACTGTTGTTGGAAATATACAACAGTAGAGTCACTCTGAGAAATAGTCTGCCAGTGTCTCACAAGCTTCTCACAGTTCTATTCCTAAGTATATACCTTGGAGGAATGAAAATATATGTCTATACAAAAACCTTCACATGAATATTCATAGCACTATTAATCAAATCAGACAACCCAAATGTCTGTCAATAGGTGATGTATATACAAAGTGTGGTACATCTGTGCAATGGGATATTTTATACAGCCATCAGAACAAATACTGATACATGCTACAACATGAAGGAACTTTGCTAAGAAACAAGCTAGTCACAAAGGACCACCCAATGTATACTTGCATTTATATGAAGTGACCAGAATAGACAATTCCATAGAGACAGAAAGCAGACTACTGGAGTGAGGTTGGGGGTGAATGTGAATCAAAAGAGGGTGGTGATGGTCAAGGGGAATGGACTTTCTTTTTAGAGTAATAAAAATGTTCTAAAATTGACTGTGGTGATGTTTATACAACTCTTTAGGTAAATTGTATAACATGTGAATTCTATCTCAATAAAGCTGTTTTAATAGTTTTTTTTTTTTCCACTGTGGCACTAGGGTGCTCTACTACTGACCTACATCCTCAACCCTTTTAAAAATTTTAATTTGAAATAGGATCTATCTAAGTTGCCCAGGCTGGCCTCAAACTTGTGATCCTCCTGCTTCAGCCTCTGAGTTGCTGGGATTGCAGTTATGTGCCACTGAACCTTTATATTAAAAAAAAAAACATTTAATGCATAAAATATCAGTATCTGATAGCAGGTATTTAGAGCTATCATAAAATGGTCTACATAAAGTCCAGCAGTTATTTTCATGATCTAAATCTCCCTTAAAAATAATCAAATTGTGGTAGCCAAGAGTGATTCATCATCAATTTTTAACCTTTTCAAAAAACTGAAAAATTGGCATCGCACGGCAACAGACTTTTTTTTTTTTAAATGACAGGAGCATTTGCAAAAGTCACCAAGTCTTTTTTTTCCCCCTCAGTGGAAATAGGACAGCTAACGTTGCACAGCTGGAACACATCAATAGACTGAAGAAGGCTTCTGCTTCCCTGACAACTATTACCAACAATGAGTCAGACAGAAAACAGAGAGATCTGTCTTTCTGTCCAGCTGGAACACACTCACTGAGTCATAGGTGGGAACAGCAGCAATGTTAGACTTCTTTCAACATATGCCTTAATAAACTTAAATAATTAAAAATTCCTTGCTGGATAATGCAGCACGTATATTTCAAAATAGGGTTTAGGAAGCAAAAGCATCTCTTACAAAAATGCAAATGAAACGTGGGTTTTGCCATTTGTAGGATTCTAAACTTCATCTATTTGCTGAATTATTATGCTGAAGGACCGCCCAGAAGGGAACTGGCTGTTTGTGTCCTGTCCACCAGCAATCTGCCCTTCCCAGATGACAAGGGAGGAAGGAGCAGCGACCCATGGCCTCAGCGGGGCTCAGCTCAGTGCCCTGAGTGACTCAGCCTTCCAGCCAGCTTGATGGGTGATGTTTCATGCCTCAGGCTGGGGCGTGCTGAGCCAAAGAGCACTGTCTCCTGTCACCACACACAGGATCCCACTGCAGCAAACCTTGCAACATTTACTTTTTAGTTTTGTTTATATGAGCTCAAAACCAAAACCAGGCTCTGTTCTGCAAGGGCTTGTTTCTGTTCATTGAGGTTTCCACACCATGCAGTGACCATGAAAATCTTTTATTCAAAAAATCAAGGCTTCCAGTATATCAGGTGGACTGTTTTAAACAGCACTCTGGTTTTCAATTTAAACAAGGAAGTCCTCTTAAGTGCTCGTGCTACTCATGTAGCACTATTTCTAAGGAATAAAATTTCATCCTTACCACATGCCTATGTAAATTATGGCTGAGAAACTCAATGGCAGTAGAAAGAGCAGAGAATGAACAAACCTGTCCAAGAAGTCTGAAATGCAGCTCCTAGGTCTCCCTGAGCATCCATTTTGCTGTGTACTCACAGGCAAGGTTCTCACCACCTCTGGTTCTATAACATGAAGGATTAAATTAGGTGCTTTCTGAGGTCCTTTCCATCTCTTTTCCATCATTCCTTTTTTTCTTTTAATTCAGCTAAAATTGGTGTCTGCGGAACCCAATCAATTCTGCTTCTCCTTAGTATGCAAAACTACTATTATATGAGAAATTGGCTCTTGGTTACTCATTGAAGAGAAATAATCAGAATTCATAGCAAACAGCGTTTATTTCTTTGCATTTAGGATTCCAGCTTTAATTTGAGAGTCACTTCCCGAAATGCAAAATGAAAGAATTTAAAACAAGAAGCTGCCAAAAGATTCCTGGCCAAGAAACTGCTTTGGCAGCATCTTGATTTCTCAAGTCATTTTTTAGACTTTTTCTTTTTTTTTTTCCTGCAGTTGTGTCCTGGCAAATCTGATCAAATCAATATGTCTTTTATGGCCAGACTGTTCTTTGGCTTCATCTATCATCTGTTGTAGAAAAAGCCATTAAATTAGGAGAAAGAAGTTGTGGGAGATTTTACTGTAAAAAATGAGGTTCTTTTTTTTTTTTCAATAAAAAACACTGACCCAATCTGGAAAAGTGTGAATATAGCAGTTTCAGGAATCAAAGTCAAGGTCAGTCTTAATCATGAGAAGAATAAAATGTGAGTATTGATGTTTCCAAGACCATGCCAATAAAATTCTCCCCTCTCCCTGTCCCTCACCTTCAGATGACAATAGAAAGTAGCTTCCTTAGGCAGAAAGGATTCTATTTTAAAATGCAAACTTTCTGGTAAGGTGTCAAAAGGAGAAATGAGGACATGTTAGGAACTGAGGGCATCACAGAAATGGTGAGATTGCAGTGCTGGGCCTCTGGAAAAATCCCCAGGGGTGCCAAGGAGTAGGAAAGAAAACAGTTCCTGAGACACCTTCCCATACGTGAGGTTTCATTTCTTTCTTCCCAATCTTGATGTTAGTTTTTATTTCAAGCCATCTTATATACTTCAGGGAAGTATGGATAGTGTAAAACAGAACTATTAACTTGGTGTTGATGTCAATCAGAGTAGAAAGTTCATTGCTTTATTTTTTTAATTGAAAGGAAAAGCCCTCATCCTTCCTTAACTGACATATAGCTGCATATGCCATTGGGCCAAGCTTTGAAGACACCATTTCTTCTTCTCTTCTAGCAGAACTATCTCTAAAAAGGCAACGCAGCAGCTCTTATTAAGTGGAGGCACCATCTCTCCACACCTGGCCTCTGGAAGACCAAGATCATAAGCAGCATAAGAAGTGCCATTCTTGCATTGTATTATGTTCTGTGGGCACTGCACAGCTTGAGACCCTGTTCTGGCACAGAGGAGCTCAAGATGTTTTGGAGATGTTTTTAGAGATCCTATTAGTTTGCTACCCAATTTCTGTAGCCATCTCAGAACTTCTTAATTCACATATATTTTCTCTTTCTTGCTCTCTCTTTCTATTGCTTATTTGCTTCCTGGGTAAGTACAGATGATTGGGGTGATATAATGAAACACATTAAAGAACATTTCCATATGGTATATAATTAAGTGCTAAATTATGTGGCATGAATTGCCGGGATTTAGGGGGTAATGGATACCAACATGTAGACATATCTAGTTTGTGAATCAGTGGTCTTATCCCACAAATACTTATTGAGGGATTGTGAGCCAGGTTCAGTGGCAGACACTAGAAAACAACAATGAGCGAAACTAGCATGATCCTCATGACGTTTGCAGGCTCTCTTTACAGATGTGTGTACACACATGGGTGGGTGCTCCGTGTTTAGGAGCAGGTCTTGGATCTGAAGCTACCACCCTGAACAAACAAAGATCAAGGACCCAGTGCCCAGTTCCTCAAAGAGCATCTCTCACACAGAGATGCTTTGCTTTTATGTTTAACATTCTCAGGTGTAAATGGAATCATAGGCCGTACACATTCTGTTGTGTCTGGCTTCATGAGCACAGCCTACTCATTTGAGATTCATCTATATCGTGTAGGTCATCATTGTTTGTTCCTGTGGATCACTGAGTAGTATTCCACCATATGAATGTTCTACAATTCCTTTCTTCATTCTGTTGTTTATAGACATCCAGGCTGTTCCCAGTTTGGTGTCTTGTCCCCTTCTTGCCTGCCACTTTGCCTTCTGCCTACTTACATGGGCCATCCTCTCAGGTATAGAAAAATGGTCAGATTGTCCAGAGGCAGAGCTATTTATATTTGCTGATTGATATTGAGGAAGTTGTTAAGTTTCTTCAGGGATAATAGTGATAATACCTAGATAATATCTTATAATGGAAAACAGGTCTAAGAGCAGGACCTGGACTATATAGTCAGTGCTTAACAATAGCTTTATTTTTCTTTTATCTACTGTATTGCTTTCTTAGGACTATAGTAACAAAGTATCACAAACTTGGAGGTATAAAATAATGTAAATATATTCTCTCACAGTCCTTTGGGGTAGAAATCTGAAATCAAGGTATCAGCACGATCATATTCTCTAGGTTCTGGAGGAAAGCTTGTTCCATTCCTTTCTCATATGGCACTGCCAGCAAATCCTGGGAATGTTTGGCTTATCAAAATATCATTGCAATTTGTCTCTGCCTTCATATGTCCTTCTTCCTGTGTCTTTTTCTCTGTGATGCTTCTCCTTTTTTCATAAGACCCTGTCACATTGGATTAAGGGCCCACCCTACTCTAGTATGACTTCATCTTAACTAATTACAGCTTACAATGACCCTATTTCCAAATAAGTGTAGGATTTGAAATTGAGCAGGACACTATCCAACCAAGTATAATTATCAATCCAAAAAAATGATAAAATGGTGTATTTAAAAGTTGTGCCTTATGCAGTATTGCTGTGCATCCTTCTTGCCCACTTAGTGGTCAACAGATGTTTGAGAAAACAGAAATGGATGATGGATTTAACCTGTTCTTTAGAGGATAGGCAAGAAGAAAAGATCCAGGGGCGGATGAAGTGTAGAATTTTAGCCTCAGTTTGTGTAGCCTTCACTGCCCTCTTTTGGAAGCTTTGGAGTCAAGAAACTAAAATGCTTGCACAAGCAGATAGCCAGTCAGATAGATACATGTTTTTCCACCTAGGAGTTTTCATAAAAGGTGACCTTACAGTGGGTAGTGGTAGTGCATGCTTGTAATCCCAAAGATTGTAGAGGCTGAGGCAGAAGGATCTCAAGTTCAATGCTAGCCTCAGCAACTTAGAGAAACTCTGTCTCAAAATTTATAAAAAAGAAAAAAAAAAGAGGGAGAGTGGCTGGGAATGTAGCTCAGTGGTAGTAGCACCTTTCTTTAGTATTTGTTCTCAGATAAAACCGAGCTGTAACATTTTCCTAGACCTGAAAAATTCCACCTGAGAAGCAGAGAGTAACTACTGAAATACACAAATACAGAGTCATTCACTTCTCATCTCAGTTCTTTAACTAAGCAGGGAAAAACACATCAAGTTCAAATTCCTTGTTTGTACAAGGAAGGATATTAACAGGTACCACATCTATTTTAACTTCCTTTGTACCTTTTCTGTTGTGTATGCAACTTTGCCCTGATGGCCAAATTCCATAGAAGTAGAGCATGTCAAATATCAGAATCAGAACGAGCTACAAGTTACACACAGTTCCAGTCTTCCAACCTATTATATTCAGTGGGTATGATATATGAAGGCTGCCTGATTTCTTTTGATGACATTTCAACCATTTTTTTCTTTTTAGGATGAAAAGATACAAAGTTTTCCCAGAGTTTCTCAAAGATGCTTAAATATTAAGATTTCAGTGCCTTAAAACAGGATGACAATGATGATTTTTCTCACTGGCAGTTTTCTATGTGGTTCTGCAAGTAACCTAGTTATAGGAAGACATGTCTGTCCAAAAGTCTAAAAAAAAAAGATGCTTTCCTTTGGAATGCAAATGAGGTACAACTAAAAGAGATTTTTAGTTTTTTCTGAACTTGCTACAGTTTGGAAGCAGTTTCTCTTTCCCTGCTAAAATGATTGCTTAGAAGGTTGCCTAACTATTCAAACCAGTTCTCATACCACATGAGACATAGAGACAGCAGAAAGACCAACTGTATAGCTGAGCAGAAAACCCCAGATGTTTACATAGAGAGGTTTGGAACCCCAAAAAAGGGGGACTCCTCACAACCCCAAGCGTTACCCATGCATGTCCTTCACTTTTTCTGAATTCCCTCCATTATTATCTTGTTTCATATAAACTCCCAAATATTTGGATTGAAAATACAAACCCTTAGTTGGGGTTGTGGCTCAGCGGTAGAGTGCTGGCCAAGCACGTGCAAGGTGCTGGATTTAATCCTCGGCCACACATAAAAGTAAATAAATAAAATAAAGGTGTTGTGTCCAACTACAACTAAAAAAATGTTTTAAAAAAATACAAACACTTGATGAAAATTTTTTTTAAATTTAATTCCACAAGCCAACTATTAAAAATCAGGTTGCATTAACTTAAATTTAAATAATTATATTTCAAAGCAAAGCTAATAAATACAATTTATCATTTACTTTTATTTTATCACATTTCACTATTATCAACCATACTCAGGTCCTTTAGGACTCTTGTATCCTTGTGGTAGAAATTTTACATAATGGTGTGTCACTTCACATCTCTCCCAACTTTTCTTCAATGACATCAATCACATTTGTAGCTTGAAATTGGTTATGTTGGTGGTATTTACACCACAGAAATCTATAAGTGCGAGGGAAAGGGGAGATATCAGGAAATGAAATTGATCAAATTATGTTATGTACATGTACAAATACACCACAATGGATCCATTATGTATAATCATAATGCACCAATAAAAAAAATTTTAAAAAGGAACTCAATAAGAACTACAAGTGAGGACATGATTTATCAACTGTCTAGTCTTAAGAATATAATAGAGAAAATGTTAATAATGCATATTAAGCCTAAAAGTGTATCATGTCTATAGAGTCATTGTGTCATGAATAATGCAAAACATTGAGAAAACATTCTTTCAGTAGTCAAAAATTATTATCTGACTTAACAAAGTCATTCATGTCATTGACAAATGGAATAAGTGAGATTCTAATGCATGATGCTATATTTAACTTAATGATTTTGTATAGGTGTCAGTAGAAGGTTAGCAATAGGCTAAATAACATATTTTATTATATTTAATAGCAATAAATTTTTTATTCATCAGGAAAATGTAGAGGATTGGATGCAACTCCGTTTGTCAAATTATGGTTGAATTGGAACATCTGACTGTGGATGCAAGAATCA